GAAGAAGGTCTATTACTGCCAGCAGAACATCACCATTTGGCAACTTTTCTGCAGTTCCAGCTCCTAAACAATGAAAGTCCAGAAAACACAACCCCTCTATAATTTTAAGTATCATTTTTCATCTTTTTGTATTGTTTAGTTTTTTGGTTTTAATTCCCTGAAAGCTGTTCCATCCTTTATTTTTAGCATGTGAAAATAAAAGTGTGGTTGTATGCGCACAGGTATGTGTAGAGCTAGGCAATTTTTTTTGACTAATTGTTTTTCTACATAAAAATTCATTTGGGGAGGAGGGTCTTGAAACTATTTGCCTAATTTGGGTCAAATTCAACTGATAGAGGGAGGGGGCAAAGCCAAAGCCTGACTGCCTCAGGCTGGGTGGGGCAAAGCCGAATCCCAAGGGCTTCAACCCCAGGCTGCGGGACTGTAACCTTAGCCCACTGCCCAGGGCTGAAGCGCTTGGGCTTTAACCCTGAGTCCCAACAAGTCTAAGCCAGCCCTGGCGACCCCATTAAAACAGGGCCGCGACCAGTGGTGAGCTGGAGCCGGTTGTTAAATTTCGAAGCCCTTGGGACAACCGGTTCTAAAAGGGCTTCGAAATTTAACTGGCCAAAAGTGGCGCCTTAGGCGCCGACTTCATGGGTGCTCCAGGGCTGGAGCACCCAAGGGGAAAATTTGGTGGGTGCAGAGCTCACCTCCGCTCCGCCTCTGTCTCCTTCCCTGAACGCACCGCACTGCACCGCTCTGCTCCGCCCCATCCCCTCTGGCTTCCCGTGAATCAGCTGTTTGCGCGGGAAGCCGGGGCGGGCTGAGAAGCAGGCAGCGGCTTCGCACTCAGGCCCAGGGAGGCGGAGGTGAGCTGAGGCAGGGGCGTGCAGGGGAACCACTCCATGCCCCAGCTCACCTCCGCCACCCTCGGACTGAGCAGGAAGCCGCTACCTGCTTCTCAGCCCTCCCAGGCTTCCCGCTGAACAGCTGATTTGAGGGGAAGCGGGGGGGTGTGGAGAAGCAGAGTGGGGCGGTACGTTCAGGGGTGGAGCGGAGGTGAGCTGGGGCTGGGCAGGGCCCGGGGAGCAAATTTTCCTGGTGGGTGCTCCAGCCCTGGAGCACCCACTGAGTAGGTGCCTAAGGCACCACTTTTGATGTGATCAGTGGGGGGAGCGACCGTTCCCCCTGCTCCCCCCCTAGCTACGCTCCCCCACCCCTAGGAGGCAGAGGGACCTGCCAGATGCTTCCTGGGAGCTGCCCCAGGTAAGCACCGCCGGGACTCCCCACCTCGCCCCCCGGCAGGTCCCTCTGGCTCTTAGGGGTGGGGTGGGCATCCACTACGGTTGCCCACGAGACCCTCCTGTCCGGTTCTGGGGGCAGTCAGGGGACAGGGGAGGTGGGTGGATGGGGTAGGGGTCGTATGGGGGGGGGCATCAAAGAACACGGAGGGTTGAATGGGGCAGGAGTCCCGGGGGTGTGGGGGTGGGCAACAACCCCCTTGTGGGGTGAGGAGGAAACCAGTTGTTAAGATTTTGGCACCTCATCACTGGCCTTGACCCACAGTGTGAGAACCGCTGGGTTAGATACCGCATACTAATTGAAGGTTAAGAAGGAAGTTTTATAATTGGCTCTAAGGTTGTGGTGCAAACATTAGATAATAATTTGATTTCAGTATTAAGCTATTTAGCCAGATACAAATTATTTATTTGATTGACATTAGTAAAATTCCTTCTTTGGGATTTATAAATAAATGGACAGCCACCTTCTTAGCCTCCCTCTTAAAAGTTATATAAGGGTTGATTATATCTCTGGCATTAATTTGATGATTTAACTTCAGTCCACTCTTGAGACTACCTGGCTTGATTAGATTATGATATGACAGTGTTTTATTCTTAGTTTACTTTATTATTACTAATATCTTAGCTTTGGTGACATGTTTTCTTGATTCTATTTTAAGATTTTTAATAAGATTTAGAAATTGATACGGAATCATGTTTCTTTCAATAAGCAACATGAGTCCAGAACCTTTGAGGACCTATGCTGGATAGCAGCAGTTCAACCTAAAAGCCTGACTAATTCCTCCTGGTAAGTTTATGGTTCTCACATTTCTCTATCTTATATTCAGAACAGCATTTAGAGTAGAGATTAGAGATGGTTGAGAATTTTCTATTGAAATTTTTTTTCAACCAAAATGGCCTTTGTTTTCCTCAATGTAAAAAAAACCTAAAATAAGTTTTTACTAAAAAACAAAATCCTCAAAAAATAAAAAAAGTTTTCATGGAAAAGTTTTACCATTTTCTAACTATCTCTAGTTGTGATTATTGTACCCATCTACTGATTTAACAAGTTTGTCTTGATAAAATTCTATTATAAAATACTACCTATATTCAGCTATTTAAATTAATTGACTGAACATTCTAATATTTTTCCTTTTAAAAGAGTTGCCAGATGCAACTGATTGTTCTATTGCTACAGATCATGGGAGAGTTTTTAACATTATATTTTTGAAATGCAGTTATTGAAAGATGTAAATCAGTAGGTGCTTAATAAAATTAAGTAAATAGATGCAATGAATGATGTCTTTTTTCGTAATACAAAATATTCCTTTAAAAAGCACTTTTGGCACTGTGAGACAAATTGCAGGAATTTTTATTTTTGTTGTTTTTTCACCATTAATACAAATGAAAAAGGAATACATACAACTGTTTAGAAAGCACTTAACTGATCTTAAATCACTAACAGTTTCCACCACTATTCTGAAAATTAAGAAAGGTATTCTAAAAGTAATTATTTTTTGTCTCATACCTTCCAGGACCTGAGTTCTTGGATCTGTGTTTCCCATACATATGCTGATAATATCAACAACACATGCAGCTGAGCAGACCAGTGAAGTGCCTTTCTTAGCATGATTTAACTGTTAGTGATGTCATCAGCTGCAGCAGAAACCTGAGCTCAGACTCTAGCAAGTAAAAGAGAGTGATTCTTGAATATCATTTAAGCCTGATTTGTCACAGAAGGAATATATTTGTGCCAGTACGTGGTTATTAATTTATCTGGCCCTGGACAAAATCAGTATTTGCATGCTCATATCTGTTAAGAGCTGCACACAGGAAACAAAAATTTGTGGTACCTATTAACTAGAGTTAGTTTCAAAAAAAAAAACAGGCAAACAGAATATCCGTCCTGTGGGAAATTGAGATTTTGAAATTTGGATTTATCCCAAATAGGGATGAAAAGTCAAAGTCTAAGAATTATTCACAAAATAATAGATTCCAAAATATTTTGTTTTGACCTTATCAGAGCATTTCATTTTAACAAGGCCAAAAAAATTTCATTTCTGCTACATTATACTATAGTAGAAACAATAAAGTCAAATGAGATGATTACGTCAAAATGAAATGTTTCAAGTTTACATGAATAAAATGTTTTGCCATTATAGAAACAAAACATTTTGATAATTATCCACAAAAGTTAGATGAAATAATTACCCGCAAAAGTTAGATGAAATTGATACATTCCAGCAAAATGTTTTGATTTAATTGAAAACTGTTCTGTTGGAAAATTTTGGCTAGCTCTAATATTAACAATCTTATTGAACCCACAAACTTATGAATGAGATCATGGATACTATTGTTCCAATATGCCATCAGATGGTAATGTTTAGATATAAACCACCCTGGTAGGGGGTCAGAGGTGCGTAAATCCATCCCACCTCATCACCCTGCTAGGGAGAGGAGTGGATAAATCCTGCCCCTGTCACCACTCTGTTGGGGGCTAGGAGCAAGGTGGGAAAATCTCTGCCCCTCACCCAGCTCGGTGGCAAGGTCAGGTAAATCCCCCCTGACCGTCCCGTTGTGGGGGGAGGTGGGTGAATCCCCTCATCTGCTCACCGCCTCACTGGGAGTGAGGGGAAAAAGACTCTTAGGCTCATTGCCCTTTTGGGGAGTGGGGTTGGTGAATCCCCCCTCACACACGCTCACTGCCCTCTTGGGGCAGGAGGGGTTGGTGAATCCCCCTCACACACGCTCACTGCCCTCTTGGGGCGGGAGAGGTTGGTGAATCCCCCTCACACACGCTCACTGCCCTCTTGGGGCGGGAGAGGTTGGTGAATCCCCCCTCACACACGCTCACTGCCCTCTTGGGGCAGGAGGGGTTGGTGAATCCCCCTCACACACGCTCACTGCCCTCTTGGGGCGGGAGGGTTGGTGAATCCCCCTCACACACGCTCACCGCCCTCTTGGGGCGGGAGAGGTTGGTGAATCCCCCTCACACACGCTCACCGCCCTCTTGGGGCGGGAGGGGTTGGTGAATCCCCCCTCACACACGCTCACCGCCCTCTTGGGGCGGGAGGGGTTGGTGAATCCCCCCTCACACACGCATACCGCCCTCTTGGGGCGGGAGAGGTTGGTGAATCCCCCCTCATACACGCATACCGCCCTCTTGGGGCGCAAGGGGTTGGTGAATCCCCCCTCACACACGCTCACCGCCCTCTTGGGGCGCAAGGGGGGTCCCCCCTCACACACGCTCACCGCCCTCTTGGGGTGGGAGGGGTTGGTGAATCCCCCCTCACACACGCTCACCGCCCTCTTGGGGCGGGAGGGGTTGGTGAATCCCCCCTCACACACGCTCACCGCCCTCTTGGGGCGGGAGGGGTTGGTGAATCCCCCCTCACACACGCTCACCGCCCTCTTGGGGCGGGAGGGGTTGGTGAATCCCCCCTCACACACGCTCACCGCCCTCTTGGGGCGAGAGGGGTTGGTGAATCCCCCCTCACACACGCTCACCGCCCTCTTGGGGGGGAGGGGCGGGTGACTGGCAGCTGAAATTCCCTCCTCTCATAACTGCCACTCACTTCCAGCCCTGAACTGCCACCGCGCCGGGTAGGAGGAACAGGAGTGGGGCTGCGGGTGCAGCTGCCAAATGCTGCCTGCCGCGGATGGAAGGCCAGGAGACGAGACAGCCTCCATCGTGGTTGGGCTCTCCGGGCCCATTAGCTCTCTTGCTCCCCCATTAAGATGGCTGCCCTGGTGTTCTGCAACGTGTGTTTCCGACAGCCCCGAACGGCCACGCCAAGGTTCTGCCTGACCAATTGCGGCCACGTTATCTGTGAGCCGTGTCTTCAGAAAGGTAACATCCTAACACGAGAGGGAGATGTGCCCTGGTCTGCCCTGTCCCAGGCCATGCAGCTCCCTGGCCTAAGGGCTCAGGCAGGGAGAGAGGGTGGCAGGTCTGGTGGCGCTTCAACCCATCAGGGTCACATCAAGAGCTGTGCAATATTTCCCACTGGCCACCAGGGTGCTGGAACAATGTGTACAGTGGGGGTGCTGAGAGCCATTGAACCAAATTGTAAACTCTGTATATAATGGAAACCACTGCAAGGCAGAGGGTGCAGTAGCACCCCTAGTTCCAGCACCTATGCTGGCCACGCTAGCAAATTAGCTTGTGGCTGAAGGGCACTGTGAGCTTAATCAGTGAGAACCAGAGCAGACTAGCCAAGTAAGTAAGTAAGTCTTTTTATGAGGAGAATGTGCAGCCCCCTGCCCTGCCCCTTCCCCCGGGCAGCCTCCACCTTCATATAATCAAAAGATCACAGAGCTGTGTGGTATTTGTCCACTGAAATTGAAAAGCCTGAGAGTTTCCTTTTTTTAAAAAAATCACCTAACATAACTTTCCTACCGCAGGTATCGTTAAAACAAATATTAAATGTTTTCTAAATTAAATTTTTTTAAAAAATGAATTTAAAAACTCCTTATCTGACTATAGTGTTACTCAAAGTCTTGATACTTTGGAAACATGCCTTATGTATCCCAAATCTGAGGCTTTAGTAAAAAGTCTGAGGCAAGACAGATGTGGTGCCCACGTTCACTGCCTCATTCACTCTGAAGCACTGTTTCATTTTGCTTTTATTTTAGAACAGTTTTCAACATATGGGATTTACATTATAAGATAGATTTTGCTAGTTGCTTCAGACATTTCAAACCCCACTACAATATTATGAAATTTTCCTTAGTTAAATCATAACTGTTTGACAGCTACAGGACCTTTTAAAAAAGGGAAGTTCCTGCAACGTTTTTAGTCCTCCATCTTGGAAGCCTTCCAATATATATTTAGGAGCTGTGGCAGAAGCATAGGGGAGGCAGATTTCTCTTGGAAATATCAAGCTCATAAAGTGGGATCCACAACAGGATTTAAGCGTTACAATGCTCAGTGTCACAGCAGCTAACGCTTAGGTGTCTAGAAAATCCACAAAGCTGAGTTAGTTGTCTAGGCTCCTTCTACAATAAATGGGGAGAGACACACGCTTCAGAATGGAATTCACAAAAGCCAGCAGAGTAGGCAAGGAGCTGCCTAACTTAGCCAATGGGAGATGCTAACCAGAAGGGTGTGTGCTAGGCCCTGTCTCCTCTCTCAGAGATAGGCACATAAGTCCAGGTTGCAGGGAGATGCCTATTTCTACTTTGTGATCCATGAACTGGCATACACCACTTGGAGTGAGGCAGCTTAGGCACCTAAGCCTCTTTGAGGGAATGAATTATGCACCTCGCTCCACACAAAATGGCCCAATTATGTTTGAAGTATTTATCCACAGTGGAATAATCATTGGGCCAGAGAGAGAGAGAACAGGGGAATGACTCTTGTCCAGCGGTTGGGGCACCCAGATGGTACGTGGGAGACCCTGGGTCCAGTGCCGCAGCTCCACACACTCTGTCATTATTTATCCAGTAGTGCCACAGCTTCAACAAGAGAAACTGAGGGAGTCACCACATCAGAATATGTAATATCTCAGTGGTTAGAGCATGTCCCACAGAGGATTTGAATAGGGGTACCTATTCAAACCCTCCCTTTCTCCCCAGCTGGCAGAAGAGTGGGAATTGAATGTAGGTCTCCCACATCCTAGCTGAGTGCTCTAGCCACTGGGCTAAACATTATAAGGCAGGCACCATCTCGTCCTTTGTATGCATTTTGAATGGAAGCCCATCCAGTCAATGGTCTGTGCATGCACCTGTTTGCCCCTGCTTTGGAAGTTGCTCTGGGGCTTAGGCACTGCCGGACAGATAGATGAAGGCACTAGTGCGTATGCCCAGACTCTGAAACACAGGTGCCTAGAAAATGTTTACTCTGAAAATGTTTACTCTCCTAGGATTTTACTGGCGTGAATTCAGATACCATTTCTACCTGTTATAATACCATTTTTACAGTGTTCTTCATCTCCAAACATCATTATAAACATCGATACTGAACATGTTAGGCAGTAAGCAACTAGCTATTGTATAAATACCTAAGACATATCTAGTCAACTATCAAGGAAGATAAGGAGTGTATTTAAATATTATGATTGTGTGTATCTATTTAAAATAATTGTTAATGTGTTTCAAATAATAAACAGGTACAGTCTCTACGTAAAAGAATAAATGGACACAAATCAGATGTCAAGAATTATAACATTCATAAACCAGTCGGAGAACACTTCACTTCAATCTCTCTGGTCACTCGATTTCTGACCTAAAAGTGACTATTCTTCAACAAAAAAAACTTCAGAAACAGACTTCAACCAGAGACTGCTGAATTGGAATTAATTTGCAAATTGGATACAATTAACTTAGGCTTGAATAGAGACTGGAAGTGGTTGAGTCATTATACAAAGTAAAACTATTTCCCCTTGTTTATTCCCCCCCGCCCCCACTGTTCCTGAGACGTTCTTGTTAACTCCTGGAAATGTGCTGGAAATGGCCCACCTTGATAATGCTTCAAAAGGTTTTCTCTCCCCCCACCCCACTCTCCTGCTGGTAATAGCTCATCTTAAGTGATCACTCTCCTTACAATGTGTATGATAAACACCCATTTTTTCATGATCTGTGTGTATATAAATCTCCTCACTGTATTTTCCACTGAATGCATCCGATGAAGTGAGCTGTAGCTCGCGAAAGCTTATGCTCAAATAAATTGGTTAGTCTCTAAGGTGCCACAAGTACTCCTTTTCTTTTTTCAAATAATAAAGACATATTTTAGAAAATGATTACTTTTAGGCTCAGGAATAAAGTCTGATCCTGCTTCTATTGAAGTCACAGACAAAAAAAACACGAAGGGTGAAATTCTGGCTCTACTGAAGTCAAAACTTCACAAATTTCACCCACTGAGTTCAGTGAGAGCAGAATTGGTCCCCAAATATCTTAGTCATACCTCTGGTTAGCTCTCGTCCATCAAATCATTTAAGCATGAACTTAAATTTAAGCATGTGAGTAGTCTCACTGAAGTCAACAGAAGTACTCAAACAACAGGATTCAGTGAGACTACTCTTGTGCATAAAGTTGCTTGCATACATAAGTGTCTGTAGGATTCAGGCCTGGGAGCCATTGCACATTTTTCCCTGTGCAATTGTGTGTTCGCATTTTTGAAAAATCAAACCCCTTTTAAGATTTTATTTGCAATTATGTACAGCCTCTCTGATTCTTGATACAAACAAGGTCTAAGCATCAAAACAGGTTGCATATACTGTATGACATACACTCATATGACATTCATTTTATTTTACAGGCAAAAAAGATGAATGTTTAATTTGTAGAGCTCCTTGCCGTACAATATTTCTTTCTAAAAAGGTAAATTAAGGCTTTCATAATATTTGTATTATACTAATTTGTAGTTTCCTTAACAGTAGAGTTATTATAATATACTTTCCTTTTGTCTATCAGCTGTACATGGACATTCGCTAACATTTTGACAGAAGTCTTAGATGCTCTGTTACTATATAGGGTACACTTATGGATTTCTTCAGATATAACTATATATAGCCTGGAGTTTGTACACCCCAGAATTCAGCAGCAAATCAGTCCAACTTCTTCAGGAACCAAATTGGTGACTAATGTAAAAGGTTAGAGGGGATTGTCAAAAAAGTAGAAAGTTCCATGTCATTATCAGATTTCCCCTGTCCTCCTGTGCACTACAGTTCGCTATACTGAGTGTGGCCTTTTTGCCCTCCACAAAAAGTGTGCAACCTGCACCAGTTACTCTGGCTCTTGGATTGGAGGAAAAACTCATGTACAGTCCAAGCAGTGTTTAGACATATGGATATTAGCTCGAGCCTTCCCTTTTTCAATAATCCACTCAACCCTGTATTATTTTCCTTTGTTGTGATAGAGCTGAATAAAAGTATTCATAGGGGTTCTTGCCCTCACTCACCAGAGGATTGTGCAGCCCCCACTTCCTATTTTTGTTAAGATGGGGTTGAAAAGTTAATCCTTCCTCTTCCTACCTAGACACCTTCTTCTCCTTAGCTAAATTCATATTTGGGTTGTGGAGGCACTTTATATTTCCTCCCTGACTAACTACCAGCCAGGTAAAGGCCACACCTTCCTTATGAGGGTAAGGGGGACATCATAAACATGCTTAGTGAAAACAGCATTCCTATAAGCCCATATAGCAATCATGCCCCTGGAACAGAGGCAGAGTTGGGCAGAAATCAGTATTACATTCCTGGGCCTTGTACTAGTGTTTAGTATCCCTAGAAGTATTTAACAGCAGGTTAACATACATCTACTAAGTATGCCAATAATACAAAGGTGATTCTGTATTTATGAATAAAGTACAGAGTGAAAAATACTGCTGAACTGGAGGAAGGACAGGATGATATCACAGAGGCACATTACAGAAAAGTAATAGGGTGTCAGATAAAGGAGTCTGACACTTGGCCAGAATAAAAAACTCTAAGGGTGTGATTTTCAGAAATACTTAGGAATATTAATACTCCCATTGACTTCAGTGGGGCAGAATTAAGCCAACACTAAGTGCTTTTAAAAACCCCACCCTAAATGTGTGTATATATCTATATCAACATCAATGTGTGAAGCTTAAAAGGAAATAAGTAAACTAGACTGTCAGGCAATTGAAGATCTTTATGGCCTAGGCATTTCTGAAACTTGGTGGCATGACAAACAAAAGTCTATGGAATACTCTATTATTAAGGTCTAAGTCATACAATAAGGACAGTTTAGGTTGTAGAGCTGGGGGAAGTACCAAAAATAATATAAAATCTATTGAACTAAAATGTATTACTGTTGAGTAGACTATGTATGAATATAAAACTCAGGTCATAAGAATGTAAATATATGATAATAGTTTTACTACTGTCCTCTATAACAGGAGGAGAGACTTTTCTTGACATAGTCCTAAGCAACACACAAGAACGAGGCCAAGAAATAACAACAGATGAATCACTAAGGCTCATTATAATAGATGATCGCAAGATAATTAAGTTCAACATCATGATACTAAACTTTCAAAATGGTTTAACTGAGGAAGCTAATCAAGAAGATCCTAAAGACAAAAATGAAAATCTTTAAACTTAGTATGGAGGCTATTTAAGCATACCAAAATAGAGTGAGTAGGCATGCATATACAGACCAAAAAAAAGGACGCATAATTAGATGGCAAAGCACAAAACGTTATTAGAGCAAAACATTTATCTTTCAAAAATGGATATCCAGCCCAACTGAAGCCAGGAGAAGGAGACAGACTCTGGCAGGTAACATGTAAAATGAGATTAAGAAGCATAAGAATTTGAACAGCAAATAGCCAAAACATATGAACAAATAAGATTTTTTTTTTATAAATATATCATCAGTAGAAAGCCTGCAAGAATCTGTGGGTCTGCTGGACTACCAGGGAGTAATTAAGATGGGCAGAACATTGCAGAGAAGTTTCATTATTTCTTAGCATCAGTTTTCACCACAAATGGTGTTGGGAGCTACATGCCCAGGCCCATACCCACTATTTTCAGGTAACGTCAATGAATCACTGTCAGAGATCAAGATGTCAACAAACTGATAAAGTTATAGTGAATTCTGGCTCCATTGCAATCCATGGGAGTTGTGTCATTGAAGTCAGTAGGGCCAGGATTTCAGTCTTAAATTGGAACACATCAACAGAACTGGATGGAAGACATCAAGCATTCTAAAGAAATTCAAGAATGTAGTGGCTGAGCAGTTAACAAAAGGATTACTGTTTCATTAAAATCTGCCACTATATTGGAGTACTGAAAGGTAGCTAATTACTGTATCTTTTAAAAAGGTACTAGTGGTGATCAGTAAGCCTTGCTTAAGTAAATCAATGGGAATGATAATTAAGGATCCAAACAAAAAAATGGTGGAGCTCCATAATTTAGGGATCCGAGAGGAAAAATGGCAAGTAAGTTTTATGGGTATGATGCTGACCCCATTGATACTAAGGGCAAAACTCCCAACTGACTTCAATGAAAGTAGGATAGGGCCCTATAAATGTGCTAAAACTCCTCATTACATTGTTTATTTGGGATAGTTGAAGGGTTACATTTTTCAATTAGTGCATGATTGTCATTTATCGCTTTACATTTCTACTATTTTTGTACTTCAGTCACCAAACTGGTCATTATTTCAGAACAGACTTAAGTACTTTGCTGAATCAAAACCTCAGTGTTTATTATTTTGGGATATTATGAAAACATCCAATATTGCTTTATACAATAATAATCTAAACATTTGTTACAAACCCTTATTTTTGATGGTTTGTAAATCTCTTCCTAGTGGAATTCTTCATTTGTGTCCATATCTTTTAATAGATTTCTAGCATTAATTCAATCTAGGGACCTCTCTCTTTGCTAGAACCTTAAATAGATTTTATAACTTGTCCACAAAATGTATTTTAAATATGCATACTGCATTTGTATGAATATGACGGTTGCTCACTGGATGAAATTTTATTTTCTTATATTGGTGAATAAAGGTCACTGAGATTTGCTAGCACAGGTTTCAGTTTGAATAAAAGATAGGTTAGAGTGCATTAGTTTATATTTATATAGGTCTACAAAATGTCCACTCAGTGAAAACTAGATAACTGCTTCCTAACTTACATGGTAAAACAATAGGGGATCAACCATGTCATTATGTTCGGAGACAGTGTGGAGGGGCACTGCCCCAGCAGAAGCTTCAGGAAAGAAAATTTTATCAAAGAAATTATATCTCAGAGTCTATTAAATCTTTCTTGAATAGCACTATTTACCAGCCTCTACAATCTAGTCTGTTTTTCCTTTATGTTTCATAGGCAAATACTCCATTATCCAACTTATATTTGTCATTCCACTATGTTTCTATACAGGCTCATCCCTCCCCTAAAAAGTTACAACAGCTAATAAATTTACAGCCCCACCTCTTTACATCATTTATTCATTCATGAATTGAAATCCTGTCTAGTTGTCCCTGAACACAGAACCAGAAACATTTCAGAGAAAGCTATCATCATGTATTATGTTATTTATGTTAAATTCAGTTTATTATACACTACCTCCAAATTTTAAAATGCACCACATTTTCTTAAGAGAAAATACTTAATTGCACTGTAGAAATTTTTTAGTAAAACTCAGGTTTTGTAATGGAGTAGGGAACAGATGGGATTTTTGGCATCAAAGTAACTATGAGAGGTGGTGTTTTTGTTTTGTTATTCAGGAGACAGCTGAAATTTTCTTACTGGGGAATGGATAGAATTCTAATTTTCCAACTTTTTGGGAACAGAGCTGACTTATAATTTGGGGGAGAAAATTACCCACCTCAGCAAGTAGCTGTCCCACTGCAAAATGTTTAAGGTATGCTACTAAATCCAACAACAGTGGATAGTCACATTATCTTGCAATTTCTGCTGAAATGCTCAGCTCTGAAATAGTTCATATGGCTATGTAGACCATTCATCTTCAGCTTCAGAGTCAGCACCCTTTACAGATGAATTAAAATATCCCATACTTCTCTCTGATTTCTTGTTTCAGGCTCTTCAGGCATCAGTTTTAAACTCCGTTCCAATTAGGGTTCCTTGCCACTATATGGAGGTATTCACTTTTTGAATGAGAGCTTAAAATATGGAACACAATTATGCAGAATATTTAAAAATTTCAGCACATCATTAATGTTATATTAGGGGCCTCACTTATAAAATACCAGGATAAGAAAACTGTCACTTATTCAGATATTACTCTCCCTAAAGGTTTACTTTTAAATTTCACTCTTACATGTATGAAGCACATTTCTTTAATAGATTATCTAGAGTGTTTAAATATATTTTTTTTAAATCTTCCAGATTATTAAAAAGATACTGAATGAAACCAGACTTAATCTCAATCCCTGAATTTTCCTATTAGATACCACCTACAAATTGTTGCATTAACATTTATTATCCATGTATAGCTGTTCAATCAATCAGTTTATGGAACATTTAATGTAATGCTGTATTTTAAAGCTTTTCTAAGTACCACGGGTAAAATTTTCAAGAGTGCCTTATTAAAAGTCAATGAAATTTAGGCTTCTAAGTACATAAGTTACTTTTGAAAATGCTCTATTGTAGATATTAATTTTGGTAATATTTAGTTACTCTTTCTCTGCAGACAAATCCTGAAATTCAGTCACTGTTTATGGGAATAGATATGTTATGCAAAAAATATTCAAGAGAAATTACACAGGTGAGTCCTACGAGATTTGTGAGTCCTTGTGAGATTTGATTGCCATCTGTCAATAAGAATCCAGATTTTTTTTTGTGCTTTTTCTTCTTTTTTAGAAACTGACTTATTTTCATTCCCAACCCTTTTTTTTTTCCTTTGTCAGTATAGTTGTAGGTCTAGCAGTTCCAGTTTTCATTTCTTTTCTCTGTTTTTTTGTTTGTTTAGTTGGTTGATTTTTGTTCTGTTTTGTGTTTTTTGGCATTTTTGGACTGAGCAACTCATTATGGCCTGATTTTCAAAGTGCTAAGCATTTAGCAGCTTCTATTGACTTCAGTGTAAAGGAAACATTGTATGAATAGTTCAACTTTCACATTTTCTTTCTTCAGACAAACAGTACACAGTTCCAAGGTGCTTAAGAAAGCATCAGGGCTACTGTTTGTGTCTTAATTTCATACTAATTATCACTACTTCTTATTTTAATGATGCATAAATATTTGCAATGGAAAAGTATCAAATATTAGCTATATCAGAAATTAAACAGGTACATTTAAATCACTGTTGGCACCACATGCTATGGCTAAAAAAAAAAAAAATACAAGCCACAAAATGTTTCAAAGGGAAGGAGAAGGAAAATATGATATAGAAACTCGTGAGCATTTGAATGTTGTCTAGATGAGTAGTCTATAGAAAATGTTTCAATGTGCACAATTCAGAATCCATTCAGAAATTTTCAAGACTACAGTCAGAATCAAAAGACAGTTATTCAGACGTCTGTTCAATAGTTTCCAGTAAACTCTTAGCTTTCTTAATTTTCCAGAAAATGAAGTTTCATGTGACAAAATCCAAGTTTCATTTAGGACATGGCACATGGCCTGGGTACTGAGCCGCAGATCTGGATATATTAGAATATGTTTTTTATTGTACAATATATTTCTTTTTTCCCTGTAAGGGGCACAGAGCGGTTGGTTATTCTTGCTTCTCTTCTATTTTATACTCACAGCCTCCTTATCAGTAACATTTGATCAGGCACCCAAGCCTTTGTTTTTTCCTGTGCCTAATACTTTACTCCCAAAACACCTCATGCCATTTTGACACAGTCACAAGAAATTATCATAAAGAGAGTCACTCATTTCTCTTCCAGCCCAGCTGAAATATACAGTTAACAGTTTATCTTTCACCCACTCCCATCATGAGCCTGGCCTCACAGACTATGCATTGTAATATCTTCTTATAGAAATAAAAGGATTTATTGGAACACTGCAAGTAACAACTCCAGCACACAGAGACAGGACTGAACTTCCTCCTAGCCACCCCTCCCCCACAACTATGACAACAACATAATATAAAAATAAGACAACTTAAACCTAAGATAAAGATACATTTCCACCTACAAGTAGAAGTGCTGTCTGCACTGACGATACAGATCACATCCTAGCCACATTAGTATTTTGACAATTGGATTTTTCAAGCCCCAAATAAAATGTTATTTTAATTTAAAAAATTATGAAATTCACTGCTAGGTTATGTGTTCTTTTTACTGCCTTTCAATGAGTTCTGAAAACAAAAACAACATATACCTGGCAGGATGAAATCATTGTAGATGTGCCGTAGTTTTCCAGCTGCTGGAAAAATACATTATGTGTTTAACCCAACTATAAAAATAAAACTGATGCTATTGTGTGTAAATTTATACTCTGCTACTTCATATTAGTGAGATTTGCCACAATATGCCAGTTTCCAAGTAGCTGGAAATTATTCTTTGAGTTCAGCAAGAGTTACTATTGACTAAAGAAGTACTAACAACTAAGCAGGATGTCTCACTCTGACCGGGGTCCTAGTGGGAGCCAGCTATGGTCACTCAATTCGGGTGAACTGCAAAGAATGGGGCAGACAATCCCCACAAATTGGTGGATATTCCAATGCTTATATTTACCAAGCCAGCATAAAATAGCTTCTTTATTAGCTCACTGGTTACTCAGAAGTCCAAACAACACAGTTCCCTTAAAGTGACCCGGCCTCAGGCCTCCATCCAGGTACCTAAGTCAAATATGATGATTTCTGAAAATCTTATTTCATCATATAAAAGAAAAGGTTCTACCAATCCCAATGGATTGGACACATTACCTCTGAGGTTATTGAATATTCCAGATCTTACCCAAATTCAAGCTACAGCCAATTCTTATTAACTAAACTAAGCTTTATTAAAAAACAAGAGAGAGACAGTATGGTTAAAAGATCAATATACATACAGACATGAGTTCAATTCATTTAGGTGCAGATTCATAGCAGAGATGGTGAGCTTTGTAGGTTCAAAGAATTCTTTTAGACATAGTTCATAGGTTATAGTCCAATGTCCAAATATCATATTCAGGGCGTACCAGCATAACTGGGACCTCGGTCTTGCGACTCAAACTTCCCCTGATGAAGCCTAAGCAGATCTGAGATGACAGAATCACTTCAGTTTTTTTTCCTTCATGTTTTAGAAATGTACTATAGCTGAAGTGATTTCAATTTGTCCATATGATTAGTTGAAGACCATTACTACACAAGTTTTATTTTTAGATTTCAGAATTTCAAGAAAAACACAGAAGACGCTTATTAGCATACTATAGAGGAAAGGTAACTAAGCTTGACTTTGGATGGGAAGGAGGATTGTTTTGTGTGCCTTATTTCTTTGGTTTATATTTAGAAAACAACTTTTGATTGAACTTTCCTACTTATTAAGAGGGGACTGTTAGCACCTGTCATGCTGTCTGGAGTGGCTCACAACCATGAATGCCTACCTCAGGGTAGGTTGTCAGAAAACAGGGCAGACACTGCAAACTGGTTGTGTAGTCTATAATTAGATTTCACCAAGCCAGTAACAGATGTGAACTGCTGGCTCACTATACTAGTTTTACCATGGAGTCACAGACTCCTGAGACTCTCCTGTCTATCTTGCCACCCAAACAAACTGGACATTGTGATGAAACAGTTACTTAGACGAAAAATCACACCACAGTCAGTTTGCTTCCGGTTCCTAGAGACTAATCACTTTACCCAGATCAGTTGGTACCCTAGATCTTACACCAAAGACAATGCTGGTAGCAAATGTTATAGTAAACTAACTAAAGGTTTATTAGCTAAGAAAAGGAAATTAGAGTTATTGAGAGGTCAAAGCAGGTGAGTCACAGTCTATAATTCCAAATGGTAGCAGAGATGTTGTAAACTGCCAGTTTCCCAAAAGTCTCTCAGGGCTACCCAGAATAACTCTGAGGACCACCAAATGCTGCAAGCAATTCTCAGTTCAGATTTTCTTTTAGCCTGGTACCACTCCCTTTACTTCAGTGTTCTTCAAGTATTCATTGATGTTATGTGCAGAGTGATATAAGGTGGACAGGAGAGGAGAGGTGGCTAGAGGAATTTTTCCCCTACTTATTATACTCCAACCCTTTTGTGCTGGAAAAATCCTTGCTGGGTCATAGGACCAGGCAGTTCCATTGTCTACGTGAACTCCAAGATGTCCTTCAGATGAATTGTAAATTTTCTTATTCACACCTCCCTCCCCCCACAGAGGAATGTCTGATTAAACAGTCAATAGCTCTTTAGCACCTTGCTGGCATGCCAGTGTGCCTTTTTCTCTGAGAAAACGGTTTGTGGGAGTCACGCAGTACTACAACACATTTCAGTAAGAATCATATAGCAAAAATCTCATAATTTTATCTGCAGTGATGTTACACACATCTTAATAGGACAATGCTGTTCAGCAGATTATGAGTTTTTAAATGATACCTCACAAGGCATCCTTTCTACAAAACGTATCATCATAACCATATAAAAGAGGTACAGGGTATCACATCGGGTATAGGGTGTCACAGAGGATAACCTGCTATTGCTACCATTAGCTCAAGGGGCAGAGGTTTTTTCAGTTTGCTTTTATAGAAACCTGGGCAATTATATACGAAAAAACTATGTTAAAAGAACATCATTAAGGTTGCAAATCAAACACTCCAAAGTTAGGAAATGCCAGGATTAAGCTTGTTTGTATAACCTTAATTCAACCTATTTATGCACATGCACTATGATAGAATCTTTAATTATATGATTGTGATGGAAAGCTTAAACTTCGTTATCATGCTTCGTCACTAGGTGTTGCTGTTTGAAGATTACTGCAGCACATCTTCTCTGAATGCTAGATTCTGGAGACAGTCTACATTTTTTTTTTTTTACAATAAAGTTGTTGCTAGCATCCATTTTTCTCTGTCTCTGTGTGACTAAGCTGACATGCTGTCAGAGTAACAATAGAAACTGCAGAATTTCATCATAATTCCTTATGCACAAAAGAACTTAATCTTTGACAGACCATCATACTGGAAGGAACAGTGTACATGATTTCGCATCGCAGCTGAACTCCACAAGGTGAATAGGGAGATGCAGGCTAGGGTCTTAATCTATGCCAGGGGTCGGCAACCTTTGGCAAGTGGCTCATCAGGGTAATCTGTTGGTGGACCGCGAGATGTTTTGTTTATGTTGACCCCCGCAGCTCCAGTGGCTGGGAACGGCGAACCGCGGCCACTGGGAGCTGCAGGGGGAGCCAGGTCTGCGGATGGTTAATATAAACAAAATGTCTCGTGGCCCGCCAACGGATTACCCTGATGGGCCGCGTGCCAGAGGTTGCCAGTCCCTGGCATACTCTATTGAGACAGATAGGCAACAGAAACTGTCGACATCTTCAGTTCGTTCCAGAGTTTGAACAATCAACTGAGCAAACTCTACAAGCTGCAAATGCAGAACCAGGAGGAGATGATTCACCTATTCCAGAGCTGTCAGAGACAACCGTTGCAAATAAAAGGCAGCTTAGCCACCAAGTTGTTACCCGTTCTGGCTGTATAGTTAAAACAAACGGTATGATTTAAGGATGAATAGCAGATGGACACATGTTGAAATTTGAAGTTGGTTTAAAAAAAATAGTTTCATGGTTTTAAAATTGTTAAAAAGCAGAAAGAAAAAAATAAGGGTAGTTGTGGTGGAAAGCTTAAACTGCATTATAATGTTTAATTACTAAGTGGTGCCGTGTGAAGAATACGGCAGCACATCTTTACTGAATGCTGGAGACACTCTACATTCCTTTTTTACCAATAAAATTGTTATTGTTGCTCACATCCATTTTTCCTCTGTCTCTGTGTGACTAACCTGGCACACCTAACCTGATTACATATTATTTTTCCACAGACCCCCTGCCTTAATAATGTTCTTTTATCATATTTTTTGTGTGAATGTTTGATTTCCTAGATACCTACTAAAGCAAACTGAAAAAAAATCATATTGACGTGCAAGTGATTCATTGAAGTTGTGACCTTTAGAGTGCTTGACTTTGCAAATCTTGATGTTCTTTTAATGTATTTTATGTGTGTAATACAATCAATTGTATCTCTTGAAAATTCTTTTTGAATCAAGTCAGAGTACAAAGAAGGACTCTAAAAAGCTAATTGCATTTCAGATCTCAGAAAGGAAATCTGTGATAACACTTTTTATATTTGGGTTTTTCATTTATTTTCATTCTTATTCTCTCCAATTTTATATCAGGGACAAGAATTAGAAGAAAGATAGAAACTTCCTTTAAACTCTCTTCTCAATATCCCTTTACCAAAGCTTTGTAAAATGGCAGTGCATTCTAGAATCAAAATCGAAGTTTATGTCAGCCAAAAAACATGGACATGTAGATCTTCAGAAATAAAATTGACTCTGATCCATATACCCACTACTCTGCTGACTCTTTCTGTGTACTGGTATGCCAATAGTATCTAAGAATAACTGGGATGCAATCCGTAAACTCTCTATAAAACTATGTGTTTGACAATCAAACTGTGTCTCGCATAAATAGAATTTTTATAAGTCTTTGATTATGTCATATAGATTGCAAAATTGGAAGAATCTCTTAAGAAGGCAACACAACAGATACATCAGATTCAATGGTAAGAGGCTTAGCATAGCAAAGATAAGTTTGAGGTATGCTTTGCATTTGGAATACCACATGTTTAACAAGAAGTTATATAAATTAAAATACAAAAAGAATCATGCTTATTTGCCTCTCTCTTCTATGACGCATACTTGTGCGAGTAGATGAATTTATTATTTAGCTTTCTAGAAATGAATGAATGATATTTTCTGCCATCCTACCTCTTCCCACTGATACAAACATAACATGACAGGAAACAAGCTTCTTATTTTAACATTCAAATCAGTAAATATTCTAAGAAGTTAACATTTTTTTTGCTGTCCATATTTTATGTTTGTACCAGGCAATGACTCAGATCTGAATAGATGTACATTTGAAAATTAGTTTTTTTAAAAGTAATTGAAAATTACAATTTTTAAAACTTCACCATGTTAACTAGAAATATTTGCAAAAAGTCTGATGGGCCTGGCAAGTTTTCCATGTGACTTATCGTTTTCTGAATAAAGCTTCTGTGCTCAACAAGGATTCCAGTGGACATTAGAAGTTCAGAAACACAAACAGCAGATCCTCCTGCATCTCATATGCAGGATGATATGTTAATGAATAAACACATGCATGTCAATATTTTTTCTTGAAAACTTTATTTAAAAAGGCTGAGGAAATTCACAAAGCTAAGGTTGCAGAGTTAATTGCAATTACTTGTACTTTAATATTGAGCCTTTTAATAAAATAGTCTGCCAGATGTTACCATAAGTAGATATTGCTATGCATAGAGGAATTGGTGTGGACAATATAATACACATATAATAGACTTTATAGCTAATCATATGCATTTTTTATGAGCAACTTTGCACGATAAAAGAGCAATAGATGGTAGTTATATAACTCAAACATATTTTTTGTTTAATTTTTGTCCATTGTAACTTTTGTTTTGCATTTAGCATGAGGCCTCCCCAACAAACTACTCGACCTGCAGTTTCCGCTACAGTTAGAAATCCCATTTCCAGTAAGAGAAGTACTAATTTAAAACATTAACTATGAAATATGTACCATTGATTGTAACAGTGCTCTAACATTCAGTTTAATTACTTTACTTCCTTCAGCAAAACAGAATGGATATTCTCCGTACTCACTTCATCCCAACTGCCCATCAACCTCAGAAATGTAGGTACAGATCCATTAATTATCACTGAAAACCTTAGGAACAATGGGAGGTTTAAAATTAGTATTTGTCTGAAGCCTCTAATATTTACTTTAGAAGAATATATGTCCTATTGGCTATGAGCCCAAACACTAATATATATTCTAATTTTAGTATCTAGTCTCTCCTCAGTAGTGAGACTAAAGAATTGATGAGAACGACAGCTATTTATGGTACAGTAGTCAATGAATTCAGGATGCAATTAGTTTAGTCAGCTAAGTACTAAATATTGTTGTATTACTGGTATAGGCCTCAGTTCTGCAATGTATTAAAGCATGTCTTGAAGTCTTTAAACCATGATTTGAGGACTTCAATAGCTCAGACATAGGTGGGAGATTTATTGCAGGAGTGGGGGTGGGTGAGATTCAGTGGCCTGCATTGTGCAGGAGGTCAGACTAGATGATCATAATGGTCCCTTCTGACCTTAATATCTATGAATCTATGTCCCTAACAATAAGCATGTGAGTAGTTTAATTGATTTCAGTGGATCTACTCACATCTTTAAAGTTAGGCATGTACTTAAGCCATGCTGAATTGGGACCATAATTCCTACCTATATTTTTGTTTCAATCTCTAAAATAATTTAACCCCAAATTCTTTATTGACTTACTTCTGTGCAAACCCCAAACTGTCTTTAATGGAATTGCACAAGTTATAATTCAGAGCAGAATTTGGTCCGAGAGAGACCAATATCATGTCAGAATCTGCATTTCTAATATTTAAGTTGTACATGACAATACAATGAACATTAATTTCTTAAAAAGATTTTCAAAAGTGTAGTCACTTAATTTTGAGAGACGTAATTTTTGGAGCTCCATTTGAGGTGACTTAAAGAGGTCTGATTTTCAGAGTGTAGGAGATCAGCACTTTCTGAAAATCAGGATCTCCTTAATGTGTCTCAAGTTAGGAACCTCAAATTATTAATCACTTTTTAAAATATTGGCCATATTTTTCATATCTGTTTCTAATGCTGTTTTTAATCTGCTTTCCTCTCATTTATACACATAAACTAGGATTTTCAACAGAGTTTACAAGAGTTAGATGCCCAAATCCCATTAAATTTCAAAGGGATTTGGCACCTCATTCCTTTAGGCGTCTTTCAAAATCCCAGCCATAACTCTCCATGTTTTGACAGCAGAGCAGATCTCATAACCTGTAACTGATACTCTTTAAAACAGCATGTTTTATTCATAATTCAGAATAATATTATTGTCTATACAAATGAAGGAGCTGTAAATAAATGTATTTATATTAACTAAAATAGTACAATAAATACTGCAATAATATATTATTTGTCATTCATGGATGTGAGGATATAACATATAATTTTCAATAATATTATTTTAATTAGAATACATTTGTTATTTATTATTACAACATGCAAATTTATTTTGTATTACTAGGGTAGAATCCATGGAGGTTGACCCTGTACCTTCCCCAGTGAGGAAAGTGAGTTCATTTCTATGTATACAAACTTGGGTTCTCCTATATGCTGATAATCATTGTATAAAGAAACTCTTATACTCCCGGGCCCTGATTCAGGAAAATGCTTGAGCACATGCTTATTTTTAAGCATGTGTCAAGGCTGATTCCACAAGCCATAAAGAAATAAAATCAGGAACAGTCAACATGGATTCACCAAGGGCAGGTCATGCCTGACCAACCTGATTGCCTTCTATGATGAGATAACTGGCTCTGTGGATAGGGGGAAAGTGGTGGACGTGATATATCTTGACTTTAGCAAAGCTTTTGATATGGTCTCCCACAATATTCTTGTCAGCAAGTTAAAAAAGTATGGATTGGATGAATGGACTATAAGGTGAATAGAAAGCTGGTTAGATTGTTGGGCTCAAGGGGTAGTGATCAACGGCTCGATGTCTAGTTGGCAGCTGGTATCAAGCGGAGTACCCCAGGGGCTGGTCCAGGGGCTGGTTTTGTTCAACATCTTTATTACTGATCTGGATGATGGGATGGATTGTCCCCTCAGCAAGTTAGCAGATGACACTAAGCTGTGGGGGGAGGTAGATACGCTGGAGGGTAGGGACAGGGTCCAGAGTGACCTAGAGAAATTGGAGGATTGGGCCAAAAGAAATCTCATGAGGTTCAACAAGGACAAGTGCAGAGTCCTGCGCTTAGGACGGAAGAATCCCATGCACCGCTATAGGCTGGGGACTGACTGGCTAAGGAGCAGTTCAGCAGAAAAGGACCTGGGGATTACAGTGGATGAGAAGCTGGATATAAGTAGCAGTGTGCCCTTGTTCCCAAGAAGGCTAACAGCATATTGGGCTGCATTAGTAGGAGCATTGCCAGCTGATCAAGTGAAGTGATTTTCCCCTCTATTCGGCACTGGTGAGGCCACATCTGGAGTATTGCATCCAGTTTTGGGCCCCCCACTACGGAAGGGATGTGGTCAAATTGGAGAGAGTCCAGCAGAGGGTAACAAAAATGATCAGGAGGCTGGGGCACATGAGAGGCTGAGGGAACTGAGCTTGTTTAGTCTGCAGAAGAGAAGAGTGAGGGGGATTTGATAGCAGCCTTCAACTATCTGCAGAGGGGTTCCAAAGAGAATGGAGCTCAGCTGTTCTCAGTGGTGCAGATGACAGAACAAGGAGCAATGGTCTCAAGTTGCAGTGTGGGAGATCAAGGTTGGATATTAAGAAACACTATTTTACTAGGAGGATGGTGAAGCACTGAAATGGGTTATCTAGGGAGGTGGTGGAATCTCCATCCTTAGAGGTTTTTAAGGCCTGGCTTGACAAAGTTGGTGTTGGTCCTGCTTTGAGCAGGGGGTTGGACTAGATGAGGTCTCTTCCAACCCTAATCTTCTATGATTCTATGAAAAGAGATAAACCTAATCACGTCTTCCTAGACATTTCCTGATCTACTTACATATCTGGTGTTTCAAATGAGTAGTTTCTTGGTATGATTTGATGATTTTTCATACCTTGGGCAAGCTCTTACAGCATTGTTCCAGCCGTGTCCCTGCTCTCTGGGAGAAGAACCACATACAGACAAAGGGGTGTCTTATTTCAATTTTGAAAAGTTCTAGCCTTCCCATTGACTCTTTTGGCCAGGTGCCCACTCACTTCCTTTTACCTATGCATGCAGTCAGACTTTTTAACCCTTTACAGGTAAAGCAAGTAGAGAACAGCTACCAAGAGGAATTTTATAGCTAACTGGGTGGCTTGGTGTCCATAAAAGGGAGTTGCCTCCCTCCCACCACTTCATTTATCACAGCATGTTTAAGTGCTTGCATGCTTTTCAGAACAAGGATGTTTTTTGAAACACTAGTTGTTAAATTCTAGCAGTTAGTTTCTAATAGTCCATCCTTTGAATACAATAGAGATGTAGCCACGTGCCATTACCAAGTCATATAGCAAAATGCTTGAAATCTGTTCTGAAATGAATCCCAAAATATTAACATTACAAGAATGTTGTAATCATCCTCTATCATCCGTATGCAAGAACTTCAGAGTTACGGTTAAACTTAAAAGAAATCTCAACATTTTAAGGGATGCAAATGCACAGTTAAGGCACCCAGACAATCTTAACTTTTTGCTGTAGTGGCACTAGCCTCCAATCTTTCCTTGTTTTTATCTCACATAAGGTCTGAACAGTCTTGTATTTTTTTTTATCCTTAACTTACTAATATATACTATCAACCCTGTCTCCAGTATTTTGTCTGAGAGTTTTTGCTTTATAGCTATATATGTTAAATGAAAACATCTCTGAAGCCCAGTTGAAAAGAGCTATTTTGTTGAATTACTGTAAGTGCTGGTTGCTAGAAAAAGGTTCTGAGAGGGCTACTGAGTAGAGAAATGAGGCATGGAGGGGAAATAGAAATCACTATGTGTGAGCATCATTTTGAAAATGAAGGCAGCATATATATGTGCTGTACTACGTTCAAACTACATGAATGCTGCATACACCCGTACCATTATGCATTAAGTACTATGCATGAAGAGTAGTCTCACATTTGAGCAGTATTTATCAAAATTATTTAAAATGTTTTACCTTAATGTTTTATAAAATATCTATAATTTATTGTTAAAGTGCATTAATAAATAGCTCATGTATTATACTATTATTAATACCTTTCCATGCACTTAGCCTGAGACAGTGACTGGTCCAACAAGACTGTCATTGATAAGCCCACCTCATGATGGACGTATGGGTAAGATTTTTTTTAAGTACCTGTCTAGACATAATGTATTATATATCTATAATGCTTAGTTTTAAGCATATGTGTAAAGTTAAATACATGCTTGAGTGATTTGTTGAATAGGGATGGATTGCTGATTTGAGCCCTCTGAGCTGTAAGAAAGGTATTGTGGAGAGATCAGTCCAGTAAGAAGGAGCTAGTTAAGAAGCAGAAATGAAGTGGTCAGTGGGTGACCTCCTTTAAACTAAGTAATGTTTGCTAAACAACCATTGTTAATAGTTGCAGAACAATTAGACTAATGTAGTGCTCAGAAACAGAAGTGATTTACTTGTGGTGCATGCACAGCCTTTTACTTGATTCGTATACTCTCTTATTAGTTATTACAGATTAACATTGTCTTAGTACAGACATTTGGTATGAAAAGGAAAAAATGAAGTTTGTTAATGAAAGTAAGAGTCCAAATTGGAAGCTTCATAAGAGTTGATTTCTGCTAGCACAAGGGTGGGGTGAGAATGGGAAATGGCTATGGTGGCTTTAAGTTACCTTTGCACCTTCCCAGTAGTGGGTAGTTCTGGGGTTGGAGAGGTCCCTGAGGTAAACTAGACAACCCTGGAGGCATGTCTATGTTATTGAAACCTTCCTGGGGTGTACTGTGTGCCACAATGTTTCCCAGATCTTCCGCAGTGCTGTATCCTGTAGACCCATCTCCAATATGCCCCTCTCACCTCCAGCCTTATCCCCAACATGCTTCCTTATATCACAGCTTGTGGGGGAGTCCTCAGGAGGCAGCCTTATGGCTGGGTTCTGCAGTTCCTGCACCAGGGTAATTCTCTACCAGCTGGATAAAGAATTTTTAGGGGCCCTTTACGCTCCTCTAGCCATTTTACATGATGTAAAAAAGCTGGAGCAAAGGTGCTCCAGGGCTGCAATGGCATTCCTCATAGTTTAAAGTTCTGCACATGCTTAAGTGTTTCACAGGATCAGGGCTAGATTGTTCAGCACCTTGCCGGATTGAGTCCTTAGTTTGTGTGCAATACACATGATTTTGTAATTGTAATACACATACTTTTCTTACTACTTATCAGTAACCAATAATGATTTTATCATCTATTTCATATTTTATTTAAATGTTCAGATCCTCCGAAGCTACATATTTCCTTTCAAGATGTCTGTATGTCTAGAGCTTTGGATAACCATTTTCTCATGATGTTTAAATATAAATAAATGCATGAAATGAATTAAATAATAAAATTGAGCATAAATGTAAACCAGAGTCAGCGCTAGGCATGAGCACACTAAGCAATTGCTTAGGGTCCTGAGCAGCTCAAGGGGGCCCCTATTCGCTTTTTATTATGTGTTAGGGAGGAGTATTCCTGTTTAGAGCCCCTAATGGGCTAGCACCGCCTCTGACGTAAATAAAATTAAATGCTTTGCACTTTTCAGGATTCAGCCCAAAGAAAACAAAGGTTTGTAGTTGACAAAGTTCAGTGAATCAAAGCAAGCTAGTACAAGAGGCATAATGTTTGCAAAACTGAACATTAATACGGAGAGCAATTTCTTGGTAAACTAAGGAAAGCTTCTTAAGAAAGGATGGGTGAAAGAGAGAAACAATAATTGAGAATTGAAGCAGCTCGTGGATACTATTTTAATATTTTAATTGACAAGAGCAGGAAAAAGAAACTAACAAAAGAGGTGGGCAAATTTTTTCACCCAAACCCTTTTTTTACCAAAAAATGTAGATTTGGTTTGATCAACATTTCACAAATTGATGTAGAATTTGTCAGATTATTTCAGTTGGAAAAAAAACCCTTACACTTTTTTTTATTTATTGAAAAACTCCCCAAAAAAATTGTGTTGGGTCAACTGAAATAAATTTTTGTTTAAAATTTTTTGTATGGTGAGTGAACTGAAAAATTAGCTATTCACACAGCTGTACACAATTTTAATACTATGTTACTCCCTCATCCACATACTAGTTGTCACTTTCTGCCGCCACAACGTGCCTACCTCTATCCTTCACTTTTTGTCCTCAGGGCTCTCCACCATTGTTTATGCTGGCATAAACCTGTGATGAATTTGGCCCAAACTTTATAAACTAAGATTCTTACCTTTGTCTCCAAAAATGATACCTTCAGTAAAGGGTGCACTTAATTTTTAATATAGTTTTTAAATCATTATAGGTAGTGTTTCTTATAAAAGTTGTCAATCATCGGGACCAACTGCAAGTCAAAATAGCACAGCAGGATCTCTAAGGTAACTAGATACAGCTCATGCTTTTCAAAATGTTACAGGTTTTGTAAAGAGAATGAAATTAAATCTTGCCTTACTTTATCTTACTTAATCTATGTAGTGTAACGGCTGAATTGTGTATTTTGCCTTTCCAAAAAAGAAAAGATATTGTGCAAGCTAACTGTAATTTATACATGTTTTATTCTTGTTGGATGGCCTGATTTTGAAACTATGGGTTCCAAAATTTGCACAGGCAGTTAGAGTATATATAGCTGTTTGCACCTGCAATCATGGTATTTGCACACAAAAATCTGTCTCTAATGTGAAAAAAGTGGCCAAAATCTTTGTTTTATGTCTCATCTGAAAGGCAGCACTTCCACCAGCACAATATTGCATTCATTATACTTGGGATATGGCTTCTGTAATTACTCAGAGAGAATAGTGTTACCCACTAAATCACCTGAAACACTTCCTGCAGCACCTACATCTCACTTAGAAGTTTCTCATCCAAGTATTGACCAGCCTCGTTTTTAAACTTGCACGAACTGTGGAAATCACAGAACAATGCGATATGGTTCCAGACCATGCAAGTGCATTGCATCCACAATTTTCAATCATAAGAACAGAAAAATGGCCATACTGGGTTAGACCACTGGTCCATCTAGCCCAGTAGCTTGTCTTCCCACTGTGGCTGGTGCCAGATGCTTCAGAGGGAATGAACAGAAATGGCAATTATCAAGTGATCTGTTACTTGTCATCTAGTCCAGCTTCTGGCAGTCAGAGGCTTGGAGGACACCCAGAGGATGACTATCTTGGCTAATAGCCATTGGTGGACCTATCGTCCATGAACTTGTCTAATTCTTTTTTGAACCCAGTTAGACTTTTGGAGGTGTGTTGTGTGACCTTATGTTTGTTTTAAACCTGCTACCTATTAATTTCATATTATTATACATTTTCAGATTGATATGAAAATACATAATACAAATATAAAAAGTCCTTTTTTCCTGTTTCATCACTTTCTCCCTTGTCTTGTCTTTCAGTTGTTTGCAAAAATGTCACCCAACAGTCTAACATTCTGATAAATAATACATGTGTGTGTGAAATAACTGATAATAATTTTTTCCTTTAAAATATAAACTTTGAGAATTTCTTTAACAATTTTTGAAATCTATTGAAGTATAAAAATGTTTCAGATCTTTTCACTGATTGCATTAACAGATCAACACCACTAAGAATACCAAATAACGGACATTCGTTCACTTCATCATCTGGATCACAAAGTACTAGAATAGGCTTATGGGATACTCCTCGTTTCAGAACTCCTCAGTTGTATGCATGTACACCACCTTTCTCACAGACATCTGTAACAAGACAGCCAATCACCATCTCCAGTCTTCTACAGAGGCAACATGTAGGCAAGTAAATTCTATGAATTATCAAAATTAAATTATTTGCCTTGAAAAGTTTTCAAGGTACAATATAAATTATTGATTATGCAATGCACAATTTATAATTTTGGAAATTTTGGGGTATAATATCAACACAATGTGAAGCCTTCCATACAATATTTAGAGTAGTTGAGAATGTACCTTTTGTTTTAATTTGTATGATGATATTGGAATAAAGATATAGAGAAGCTTAAATCTAGTAATTTTAATATTTGCTTTTAAGCAAAGTTCTACTTTTGAAAAATTCAATCTATATAATAATTTGGTAAAAGCTATTGTGATGGCAACTTTAATGTACTTCTTTTTCCCTTAGTTAATCCCTTGAAATCTGTAATTATTCAGAGGCAAAAAACTTGAATAAGAAGTTATTACCACTGACCTTTTGGCAAATACCCTAAGAGATTTTTTAAAATGTAATGTTATTTGAATATAAGGCTACATTAAGCCCCCATGGCTGACCTATGTCAGCTGACTTGGGCTCACAGGGTTTGGGCTGTGGGGTTATAAAATTGCAGAGTAGACATTTGGGTTTGGGCTGGAGTCCAGGGTCTGGGACTATTCCCACTCGTGGGGTCCCAGAGCTCAGCCTGCAGCCCAAGCCCAAACATCTACACCGCAATTTTTCACCCCTGCAACCTGAACCCCATGAGCCAGGTCAGCCGCAGGTGTTTAATTGCAGTGTAGGCATGGTCTGAAAGTCTTGAAATCAACAGCAGTGGTGGCCTTACCTTCTTAAAGAAACTGCAGATGCAGATGATAAACATGCAAGAGCGAGTGGTTCTAATTGGCTGCAGTTTAGTTTTCATAAATAGCATGCACTTGGTGTCTACGGATTATTGGGGCTTCAGATGCTGGACAACATGAGGCTGTTTATGGTCCTTCTGCAGTTGGCACCCAGATAGTAGCAGGGAGAAGCTGGTGCCAGCTCTGGTACCTCCCTTCCCCCACCCTCCTCTTCCCCAGCATCACCAGTGGTAACATCAAAACCTTCCTTCCTCCAAAGTTTCAGTTATGGTAAGGGCTAGGGAAAGAAAACAGAGCACATAAGGGGGTATCCTGGAAGGAGTTCTATAGGACCTGGGGATGAGTAATGAACCAGGTGAACTGGAGGTACAAATGTGGGAGGAGTATTCGGAAGAGATGAACTAGAGGCCCTGGGAGGTCAAAGGTATTAAATGTAGGCCTGAATGGGAACCCTGAAGAGACAGAGGAGGGTTTCAGCTGTGAACCTTCAGCAATGAATTTAGGAATGTCTGGAGTGGGTAAAGAGAATCTCTTAGTGCAGGGATGAACAGTAGTGGTGGGGATAAACTGAGGGAGTGTGTGTAATGAACTGAAGGGTCTGTAGGTAGTAGTTGGAAGGATGGATAGGATGTTGCTGGAGAGTGAGTGGCAGTTGGGAGGTCCTGAGGAGGAAGAGGAACTGTGTGGAAAAGAAACCAGGAGATCCTGAGAGTCAAGGAAAAAAAAGAACTGGTAGTGATCTGGATAGGAGCTGGGGGGAACTAATGGAGGAGCTGATGAATGAGAGCCCCTGGGACTGAGCATGGAGGACTGGAAGGAATTCAGAAAGGATGGGGTAGAATAATTAGCAGGTAAGAGAAAGAAGGAAGAAAGGAGTCCAAAGATGGAAGAGAGAGAAGTGATGACACTTGGGGAGACAGAAAATAAGGAGAGAAGGGGGGATTGAAGAGGAAGAGAAAGTTCTTCTTCAAGAGATGTCCCTGTGGGTGCTCCACTTCAGGTCAAGGTGCGTTCCCAGCGCCTTCGTTCGGAGATACTGCTGACTGCTTCTTATTTACAATGTCACCTGAAAGTGAGAAAAGGCGTTCACATGGCACTTTTGTAGCCGGCATTGCAAAGTATTTATGTGGCAGGTATGCTAAACATTCGTATGCCCCTTCATGCTTCGGCCACCATTCCAGAGGACATGCTTCCGTGCTGATAATGCTCGTTAAAAAAATAATGCGTTAATTAAATTTGTGACTGAATTCCTTGGGGAGAAATTGTATGTCCCCTGCTCTGTTTTACCCGCATTCTGCCATATATTTCATGTTATAGCAGTCTCGGATGATGACCCAGCACATGTTCGTTTTAAGAACACTTTCACAGCAGTTTTGACAAAACACAAAGAAGGTACCTGTCAAGGTTCCTTCCCCACTCTGAACTCTAGGGTACAGATGTGGGGACCTGCATGAAAGACCCCCTAAGCTTATTCTTACCAGCTTAGGTTAAAAACTTCCTCAAGGTACAAACTTTGCCTTGTCCTTGAACCCTATGCTGCCACCACCAAGTGTGTTAAACAAAGAACAGGGAAAGAGACCACTTGGAGATGTCTTCCCACCAAAATATCCCCCCAAGCCCTACACCCCCTTTCCTGGGGAAGGCTTGATAAAAATCCTCACCAATTTGTACGGGTGAACACAGACCCAAACCCTTGGATCTTAAGAACAATGAAAAATCAATCGGGTTCTTAAAAGAAGAATTTTAATTAAAGAAAAGGTAAAAGAATCACCTCTGTAAAATCAGGATGGTAAATACCTTACAGAGTAATCAGATGCAAAACCTAGAGAATCCCTCTAGGCAAAACCTTAAGTTACAAAAAGACACAAAAACAGGAATATACATTCCATTCAGCACAGCCTATTTTACCAGCCATTGAACAAAAGTAAATCTAACGCATTTCTAGCTAGATTACTTACTAACTTTTTACAGGAGTTCTGAGCTGCATTCCTGATCTGTTCCCGGCAAAAGCATCACACAGACAGACAGACCCTTTAGTCCCCCCACTCCAGCTTTGAAAGTATCTTGTCTCCTCATTGGTCATTTTGGTCAGGTGCCAGCGAGGTTATTTTACCTTCTTAACCCTTTACAGGTGAAAAGGTTTTGCCTCTGGCCAGGAGGGATTTTATAGCACTGTGGACAGAAAGGTGGTTACCCTTCCCCTTATATTTATGATAGTACCAATGTGAGATTTCTAAGAATAGATAAAGCACTCGACCCAAGGTTTAAGAATCTGAAGTCCCTTCCAAAATCTGAGAGGTGTGGAGAATGCTTTCAGATGTCTTAAAAGAGCAACACTCCAATGCGGAAACTACAGAACCTGAACTACCAAAAAAGAAAATCAACCTTCTGTTGGTGGCTTGTGACTCGGCTGATGAAAATGAACCGCTCTGCTTTGGATCGTTATCGAGCAGAAGCCGTCATCAGCATGGATGCATATATTCTGGAATGGTGGTTGAAGCATGAAGGGACATATGAATCTTTAGTGCATCTGGCACGTAAATATTTTGCGATGCCAGCTACAACAGTGCCATGTGAATGCCTGTTCTCACTTTCAGGTGACATTGTAAACAAGACATGGGCAGCATTATCTCCTGCAAATTGTAACCAAACTTGTTTGTCTGAGCAATTGGCTGAAGTAGGACTGAGTGAACTAGTAGATTCTAAAGTTTTACATTGTTTTATTTTTGAATGCAGTTATTTTTTGTACATAATTCTACATTTGTAAGTTCAACTTTCATGAGAAAGAGATTGAACTACAGTACTTGTATTAGGTGAATAGAAATATACTATTTCTTGTTTTTTACAGTGCAAATATTTGTAATAAAAATAAATATAAAGTGAACACTGTACACTTTGTATTCTGTGTTGTAATTGAAATCAATATATTTGAAAATGTAGAAAACATCCAAAAATATTTAAATAAATGGTATTCTATTATTGTTTAACTGTGCGATTAATCGTGATACATTTTTTAAATTGTGTGATTAATCACAATTAATTTTTTTAATCGCTTGACAGCCCTATTTATGATATATTCAAAAATTGCAATTCAGATGTAAAATTGCAAGCTTCCTTCCCAAAGCTAGTAAGAAGCACCATTCTGTCCCCAAGACCAACAGTCAGAAAAATTTGGAGTTTGTAGGCCAAGCAGTTTTAGAAATATGACAAGCCAGAAAGAAAGAAAGATTAAATTGACCTTAATTGTTGAACCCCCATATCTTCCAAAAGCATTATGCAATTTGCCCCAGAAATGTCTTCCGTGGGCTATGATCTGGCTTGTGAAATGACATATGCATGTGATGGATTCGGGAAAAATGGGTGATAGAGGATTGGGTAGAAAACTGGACATGTAATCATGGAAAGATATCTTGAGCTTCAATTAAAGGAACAAGGATTTGATCTCAGTTTCTGGTGAAATCCAGTAATTTAAATGTAGTGTAATACGGTTTCTCTGAATAATGCTTCTGTTCATTGGTATAACTGAGATGAGAGTCTTATCTTAGCATCTTTTAAACAATTAGATTCCTAATTCTAAGTATGGGGCTCAATCCTGTTCACAAGTACACTGACACTTATTTTCATGTTCCCTGTAAAATCACTTACCATATTTGCACTTGCATACATAGAAACAGCTTTGCCAGAATTCACAGCAACATGTGTTCCTTTATGTTTGTTTTTTATATTAATATTTATAATGATTTTTCATTTTTGATTTTTTTATTATTTTTCTTAACAAAATAGATTTTACTTAAATGAATGCAATGATTCTTTAGCTTTATGTAAAACTATTTATACCTTTGTATTTTTAAATCTTCCTTATAGGATCTACTAATCTTGGAGGACATTCAGTAGAAAGATAAGCAAATGTCTGCAATCTATATTGTTCAATAAGCATCTGGAGAAACCCTCCACTGGCTTGTATAAATCGGAGAGTATATGTAATTTCTATAAAATGTAATGTTGGAATAAAACAACAAACTGGTCACCTTGGTGAAAGCACTCTTAAAATAATATTGCTAATTAAAATCCACAGTTCTTTTAAATGGAAATGGAAAATGTTTTACTGGTCTTAAAATCTTTGACCAAAAATGTATTGCATAAATATTCACGCTTTTGTAACCAGGCATCAAGACTAACATGACTGCATATTCAATAAGCACTTCTTTAAAGTACTCTTCTGTTGGTGAGAGCTTATAAATTCTCTGAATTGCCAAACTAGCTCTGTATATGAGTAGCTTCAAAGTGCATATTTGTTTAAATGGTTGTGCACATATACACTATTGTGTGCATGCTCTGTATTAGAGATGGGTCTAAATCAAAACTCCAGATCCTAACATCTTAACAGTTGGTGGTATTTGAATCCAGGATTCCAGATCTAGATTCCTATTCAGAAGACCACTGTTAGCTTCCACTAGAGAAATGCACAAATTTTCTGGGATTTTAAATTCTGGCAGGCACTGCTGTGCCCATGAGTATAATAAAGTAAGAGATTCAACACTCCACAAAGTCCACCACTGGATTTGGTTGGCACTCCTCACTTGCCAGACAGCAGAGAGTAAAGTGGGGGAAGAGCAGCAGGTACTCCCATGAAGAGACTGGAAGTCTGTCTGCTACCCTGATAAAACACTGCAATAATGAATGGGGGTCTGGAGACCAGCAGGGTGCCTGGGTGATAGAGGTCTTTTGAGAACAGCTCTTGGTCTTGTAAGAACAGCTGTTCTTATGAAATTTCCACCATTTTAGTTCAGATGCTTGGTCTGAATTTGGATCCAAACTGCTACCCTGGTTTGAATAAAAATCTCAATTCCAATTTTGACAGCATCCAGTTTTAAGTACATCTGGGTCAGCCCATTTCAATTCAATACACAATTTTCTATTGCCAAAAATGATACATTGAAAAAACATTTTTTCAAACCAAGTAAAGGCTTCATTGAGGCTTATGTCCATAACAAGTTTCAAGCTACACATTTGAGATGTTTTTATTGCAGACATGTTCAGAAATGTGTGACTAATATTATGTTACTTTATTTATTTTACAGTAGAAAGTTTTGTCCCCACTCTCCTCTAACTCAAATAGCAGAAAAGATTCCAAATAATCCATCTTCAGGCAGAATTTTATCCCAAACTGAATGATTTAGAAAGATATTAACATAAAAACAAAGGATTATAATGAAAATTACTGGTAATTGACATACTTCCACTCTGCTTACAATACCTCTGAGAGGTGAAGTCATAAAAATGGCATTGCAAGCTTCCATACTAAATAGGTGTCAATGATTTCCATATCAGATTATTTTAGAGTACAAGTAAAAAATATTTTTCTGAACTGCCATTTCATCTCACTGCAAATTCATCCTGGGATCTGAAAGTCAAGCTGTGTTCTTTCTGGCTTCTGAAAGCCAAATTCTGCCCTTTGTTATAACTGTTGAACTTCATTGCTTTCTGTGGAATTGCACAGGTGTAACTGAAGGCAGAATGGAACACAATGACATTGCACAGTTGGCTCTTCAAATGGACCTTACTTAACAGTTTTGTTGATGTTGAACACATCTGGAAAGAATCCAGTTCACTCTTAGAGCTGTTGATTCTGCAGAGTTGACAGTAATTAAAAGTAGTAAAAACTTACTTCTGTCATTAAAATAAGCAGGTGTGACTCTGAATACACACAGGGAGCAGATTGTGTGAGTAGGAAGGTACCATATTTACATAGTTTACTTTTATAATGAAAAATGACTAACTAAACTGTGCCTCAGCCAAGCTTGTCCCCTTCTACCTTTTGGATGGTAACACTATAGCCCTGCTGGTTTCCTTTAGCGAATCTTCTTACCCTTCAGAGGAGTTCTTAGGCCCCCAGTTAGGCCTGCGTGGTAAAAGGCAGCATATAGCGAGGAAGGCCTGTGATCCTCCTCTTCCCCTCAGGCAGCAGTAGGGTGACCAGACAGCAAATGTGAAAAATCGGGACGGGGTGTGTGTGGGGGGGAAGGAATAGGAGCCTATAAGAAAAAGACCCAAAAATCGCGAGTGTCCCTATAAAATCAGGACATCTGGTCACCCTAGGCAGCAGCAAAACTTTTGGTGCTCAACATGAAGTTCCCCTTCCCAACACACACACGACCTTGAAGGAGGCAGCCTGAGTCCTCTCTTCCCTCACTCCTTTTCCCAGGCAGCAGCCTAACTTCTATAGGAATGCTCACCCACACAGTTTGAGTTTCTCTCTCGATCTTAGTAATACTTCTGAAAAGTAATTTACTTAATGAAATGTGCCATATTGCACCAAGTTGCACCATATTGCAAGCATAGCATATTTTCAGAACACTTTATCGGGGGAAAATACGCCTGGAACCCCTTACTAGGGTAGTATCTATCTTAGAGTTTTATACTGCTGCCCATCCCTGAAGTATATAGGTGCCTTCCACGTAAAATCAATAGCACTAGCTAAGTTCCTATTGGATGTCATGGAGTCCCTGGCGCATCTCCCCTTTCAAAGTCAAAACACTGATTGGGGAAGGTTTGGGGAATTTATTTATTTATTTAACATTGACGTTGACAGGGATTTGGGAATAGAATGGAGGGCTTATATTATTTATGGTTCTGCTACAAATTGCTCCATATTATAAATTGGTCAAAAGCTATCATCTAGTCCACTTGGTGGCTGCCAGTCCAACCCTACCTTCAGCAGTGGTAATGAGTTTAAAGGGAGAGGAAAGGTAAATCCAGTTTGATTCAAAATTAATAAATGGCATTGACAGGCTGCAAATTTTGGGAAATATTCTTAATAGGTGCCTGTGGGCTCAAGATTGATGAGAACTTAAACTGTGTATGTGCATTATTCAAGAGCTTATAATTAGGTCATGTGAAATTTAAAACCACAACAACAACATCATAGTGGATCTTATTTACAATACAGACTAATTACTTGCAAAAATTATTTTTTTTAATGGAAACCATGTGTGGCGTAAGCAAAGGAAAAAAGGAGTATCTTAAATTGGTTAACTTCCATGTTGTCGTTTTTTGTTTGTGTTTTTTTAGCATTGTACAACACAAAAATGATTAAAATATTTAGAAGAGAATGTCTAAAAAAATCAGGAAGGTGTTCTCTGTAATACACTGAACAGAAAGATCTAAACATTATGCTCATATTTAAGCATCTTCTATTGAAGTCAATGGAAGTTTAACTTTTAGCCACATGTTGCCGTCCTGAGCAGTTTTCCAATGAGCCATAAGTTCCTGAATACAAACATAAATAATAAAACTGCTGAACCACCCATAACTATTGCTTCACAAACATTAACATGAAAATGTATACAGTATTGTTTCTCTGGATATTTCACTCTTCTTCGTCTAAAATGAAATTTGCAATAGAGCAATGGTACACCAGAGGGTGCTAAATTACCTTTAAACAAAATAATTTCAGTCATCAGATTTTTGTAGGCAATTCATGGCTTGCTAGTATAAAAGCTGTGAAGTGTTCTGGTTCCCTCAGTTCAGAGAATGTTTAGACAAGCTAGAAATCATACAGAGAAAGGCAACAAAATGATACAAGGCTTTGAAGATAAAACATACAAGAAGTGACTGAAGGGACTATATTTAAATTCAGAAAAAATACTCTGAGAGAGCATGATCTATAGTCTACAAATACCTTAAAGGTAATAATAGCAATGGAAGCAGAGAATTAGTGACACTGGTAGGGCAAGGAGCAGTGACGTGAAGGAGAGAAATATTTAGGCTAGATATAGGAAAACATTCTTAACAGAATAATTTGGCAATGGAGTAGACTCCCAGGGGATAGGGTCAAGGCACCATCACTGTGGATATTCAAGAATACATGAGATAAGATGTTGGTGGGAATGATGTAGTGTATCGTTCTGAAAAATGCAGGGGTCAGCCTGAATGACCTAAGAGTTTTTAGTCTGGGCTTTTTAGCTACAATTCTATGAATTTCAGCTCTGTATTCCTTACTTAAATACAAATTCTACAAAAGGGCTAAATTGTGTCTTTTTGAGTTTCAGTTGTCAGTTGCAATTGTGTGTGTGTGAAAATATACTGTACCAGCCATAGGAACCTCCAGTGGCAGTTGGGAGCACTCTGAGGTGGCACCACTAATTCTTTTTAAAAGGAGCGTAACGTGCACTCTTTCCAGCGCTGGCTTTCCTTTGCTACTAAATATAGGACGGGGTATCTGAGGCATGGCCCTATCCTCACTCCAACTCCTTTTGGATGTGTATTTATTTTGATGTAAGTAAATCTTAAAAGTGAATCTTAAAACAGCACAGTATACCCAGCAACATTTAAACAACAAATATTTAAACAGGAGCAAATTTACCTGGCCAACCAATAAATCAGCTGCAAAAAAAAAGTTCTTTTTTACACCCACCATTATATAGTGCTGCTTTTGGTACCAACACTTCCCTATGCCTTGCATCCAGGATTTTAGCTCCTCCCTGCACAAAAGAAGGAGCTTGACTTGCATCGTCAGTCCCCTGAAGTCTCATACTTTTTTGAGGTACTCAAACAAAGGTGTGAGCTCAAGTGGATCTCAAGAGCCACAACCCTACCCTGTTCTTCAGTTTCTTTGAGAGGCAGGAGTATCTGATCAGAACCTCCCTAGCTTCCTCTTTCTGCTTTCTCTCAATCACACATTTTATTGTGTGTAGTTTCTTCCTTTATTTACTGTAGTATAGTTTAGGGTAGAGTGTAAAGTTCAACTATTGATTGTTTTTTACTCTGTTTTTAGTTTTGATGTTGCCACAGGCACTTCTCTGCAAAACTTGAAGAGTGGAACAATCCAGTAAGGTAAAAATTAGGGCCGCCAAGGGATTAAAAAAATTAATTGTGATTAATTGCACTGTTAAACAATAAT